GTTTTGACTGATTTTGCCAAATGCTTGTTTTAAGTCTGTTAAAATTCTAACCACACATTTTTGATCAACAGAATTAGATATTTCCTCAAATCAATTAATACTCTAATTGTTGATCTGTTTGATCAAAAGAGCAACGACGGAGGTGGATGTAAAGTCCGGATTGTTTTGAGATGACATACCAATTACCAATGCGAAAGGCAACATTTTCGGTAATTATGTAATTCCTCTATCAGTTTGCAATATAATTAGGGAATCGATCTTTTCAAAGAAAAAAAGTTTAACAAAAGCAATGATGTGTTTATTGAGCGAAAAAAAAAAACAAAAAAGAAAGGTTACGATCAATAATGGTTCCCGTACCAGGCAGATCAGAGGCGTGAAGAAGAGCCAGCAAAGCTTCCACCAGACACACGGCCGATAACCAATCATGTCCTCGATGTTTTTGTAAAATCGTTCGGCTCCTGTCACATGACAAGCAGCGTGCAAAAGAAAACAGGAGCAATGAGAACAGGATGACCAAAGAGATGATGTCTATGATAAACGACTACTTTGATCCACTCAAATAATGCCAGCTGTGGTTTTTCCAGTAGATTTCAAAACGTTTTCAGCGTGAAAAGCAAAAAAAAAAAAAAAAAGCGAACTGAATGTATCCTTACCATAAAACCAGGATATGGAGATGGTTTCAAAGAAGACGAGGAAGAGGAGACACATCCCACTGGCAGAGTAGTAATCAAACATCTTGAAGACATACAGACCGCCCTGAGACATTAAAACAAAACATACGTAAGGAAAACACATGATCAAATCTTATTTCTTTCTCAGTAATGTAAAAAGTAACCAGACCAGACTAGAAAGGTTTAAACGAGATTGTGCAGATACTACATCAACAATGAGATATTAATTTGTTTAAGACTTTTTATGCATCGTTGCCAATATTTTTGAATGTTGTGTTGCAAAATATTGCTTAGTAAAACAGCTCAAACACCCAGACAAGCACCTGAGTGATGTTGGAGAAGCCAATGACGAAGGAGATGAAACAAACGATGAGGATGAAGAGCTTCTTCCTCTTCCTCAACACCAAGGGATACTCATCCATGAGGGCTGTGATGAATCCTTCAACTGTGCAGAACTAGCCAACAAAGTGTGAATAGAAATGACTCAGACGGCGCTTGGCCTTCGCCTTTCAAGACTTAATCGTCATATTTTACGTTTTTCATCAACTGAAGCCTTGATAGTTTTCACTTTGCGTCTCCTCGTAGAGAAACTTTCCTTGTTGTAATTTATAAAGCGGCTGATGAATTTATATTGATGCTTTTTAAACCTTTTGTTTTATCAACTCACTCGTCGCTTTGCGAAGAACTACTTAACATTTTATAAATGAAGCCAAAGATGCTTTATGTTTCTGCTTTGGCTCCTGGAAAACTATAAACTCTCCTCTGATGCGGCGCTTTTATGTCATCATAAATTTTGCGATTTATAATGACTTCAAATCAAATCATTACCGTGTCATATAGTTTAGATTTGATTCTCCTTTTGTTTAAAATCCCATCAGTTTTTCGCCACATTGGGTCACGCACGCAAATAAATGCAAAAACTGTAAATGGATCCCCAAACACATAAGAAGAAGAAAAACTTTTATTTTTCTACCTGGCTGTCCAAGCCGAGCATCATGAGCATGGAGAAGAAGAGGATGGCCCAGAGGGACGACATGGGAAGCTGGGTGACGGCCTGAGGATAGGCAAGAAATGCCAAACCCGGACCTGTGATGTAATTCAGATCACACTTTTTTTTTTTTTGCGTCGTACATCCGGTCATAAATTTGCATGAATAAAACTTGAGCAATTGTGGCGAAGGCTGAACGTACCCGACGCTGCCAGTTCCTGCACCGGTTTCTTTGTGATGTAGGACATGAATCCTACAATAGAGAAGATAACAAACCCAGCAAACATGCTTGTACACGAGTTAATGCAGCATACTATGATAGAGTCCCTGAGGAGACAGGATGGGGAGAAAAGAAAAATTAAAAAAAGAAACCATGAAACAAGAAAAAAAATAGAGAGGGAAAAACAAGATGTTTAAAACGTAGATCTCCTGTCCCTACTTGTAGACGTCGTTGTTGTAAGTGTTGTAGCTTCCGAGCGCGATGAGCGAGCCCAGGCCCAGTCCGTAGGAGAAGAAGATCTGAGTCGCCGCGTCCAGCCACACCTCCGATCGAATTAGCTTGTTGAAGTCGGGAGTGATGTAGAACAGGATGCCGTCGATGGCTCCAGGAAGCGTGACGCCGCGGAAGAACAGGATGAACAGCATGAAGTAGGGGTAGGTGGCGGAAAAGTAAACCACCTGCGAGAGAAGGTGGTTTGTAGACGTGGAAAAGTTACTCTAACTTTGAGGTCTCCGCGTGTGCAGACTCAGCCGCAAGTCCTGTTTCTTGAATATGTGATTAGTGGAATAACACGGAAAGGAGAGATTTTCTAAAATATTTCCAGTTTTTCTTGCATAATCATTATGTCTAATTGGTAATGTCCATCAACACCAGGACCTTGGGGGAATCCATTTTTCTCACTTCTCTCTGGCTCCTCACATTAAAATCCAATTATCCCTAGCAGTGAATGTGTAAATGTGTTTCTCCTCGCATGCTTTGCTTCAACTTGCAGTAATTTTAAATTTCAGGCAGCAGGCTGGGATGTTTTTTCTCTTCTTTTTTGTGCTTTTTATATCCAAATCATTAAGCCATATGAGCTAAAGACTCCCACGAGCAATTATTTCAGTTCCAGTGTAAAGTCAAAGGACTTGTTGGGGGTTATGAGTCTTGTCAACTCAAGGAAATTCAACAGTTATGTAATCTTTCAGGTTCAATACTGTCATATAAAAACAGTCAGAATAGATAAATAATTCAGAAAAGTCTTGTCTTGATCGTGTCTATCTCTAAAGGAAATACCTTTTAAGGTAAACTTTTGTTCCTTCATCAAAGACACAATGTTGTCTATCTGGGCAAACCCATGTAGGGCCACCATGGAAACCACAGACAACACCTTTTGGGACCCATATTGTTTGCCCTAATTTATCACATATGGGGCCCATGTAGGCATGCTGGCTGGGATAAGATTTCTGTGGTAAAAAATGTTTATATATTCATCAAAATATCACAAAACACCAAAAACTTTTCAAGACAAAGTGACTTATAAAAATAAACACATTATTTTTGGAGGGTTTATATAATCAGACCTTTATCATTTAACATGTAATAAATCAATCATTTTTAATTCCCCTATAATACTTTTTGTACGTTTTGTATCATTGGAGAACAAATGTGGTAGACGTTCTGAAAGGTGCCGTTTTTGTGAACAAAGCAAGCTCTCGTGGTTTCACGAACCTAGCTTTAAATTGAAATAAGGCAGGGAACTGTTTGAGGAGAATCAGGATATTCAGGATTAAAGGAAAACCCACAAAACGTCCATGAGACAGTCTCACCTTTCCCGTCCACTCCACCCCTTTCCAGATGGAGAAGTAGACCAGAACCCAGGCCAGCGCCAGGGTGCCCACTAAAGGCCAGCGCAGCTCCCCTGGCGTCTCCAGCCCGTCGGTCATCTGGTGCATGTTGCGTCTGCAGACACACAGTTGCACGCAGAGTCATTTTTAGCTGTCTACATCCATCGGGCGTCGCGCTGGACGGGTCTAAATCTGCCGACGTACTCCCAGAACTCGGTGACGGCGCTGGTCAGGTTGGTGGTGTCTGTCAGGCTGTAGTTGGAGAAGCAGCTTTCGGTGTTCCAGGGGTTATCGCAGCTCTGCCAAGGCAGCTCCTGAACAAGGAAGTCCAGTCAGACTCCGGTGGGACGTAACATAGATGTTGGGTAAGACGCGTGTTGGGTTAAACAAAGAGGACATTTTTCCAAAGAGAAGTGACTATTAAAACAGCTTCCTGATTTATTAAGCATGTTAAAAAGTGATGCGTCCTTGACTTTATCAACATACACATTCCTAGTAGCTAAAACTTAGAAATAATTTCTGTCTGCTGAGATTGGTGGTGAACAAACCTACCGAGCTGAAGGAGTTAAATAAATAGTAAAGAGCCCAGGCGATTATGATTATGTAGTAGATGTTTAGCCAGAACGACAGGACAACGGCAGCCAAACCAACACCTAGGAGAACACGAAGAGAACTTCAGCATCGAGAAAGATGAATTGATGTGCATGTTCCAGAAATATCAAATCTATAAATGCACAGCGACAAGGGAGCCATTGGGCTAATCGGAGGAAAATAGAAACAGCCCAGGAAGAGTTCAGGCAGAGGAGAATCAGGGGATGGACAGCAGCTGCGAAGGGGAGCAAACCGGCAGGCCGAGGCAAGTAGGAAGATAAAGCCGAGGCACAGGAATTATAAATAAAGGGAAAAGAATGGAAGTACTCTGACACTGCAAAGGAGAAAATAATCGATTAAGAGAACCAACACAAAGGAATAGACTAAAATGACAAGGTCTAAATAGTCGACAAAGAATGATCCAAACTGAAACCTAAAGTAAAAACCCAAGGATCATAACATATTAAGTTAATACAATTTGCTTTTGTGTCATTTTTTCGACGTTATTTTCCTCTTACAATAAATCAGCTTCAAGATCAGAAAACTCTCAAGTTTCAAATAGTGAAAAACTAAATAAATCTGTAAAAAGAGACATTTTTACAGCGCTGCGCATGACTCCCAGCATAAAGCACATTATTTGACATTCACCAACACACATAACAGATGAATCGGTGTGATTGGAGTTTTAGTCGCAGTGTCGTCTTTGATTTTTTTAAAAAAAATCTTATTCTTCTATTTAAAATGCAAAAATTACCTTTCATCATGGGAATGAGCTTCCACACCCCTAGCCCCCCCACGGAGGTGAACTGTCCCAGAGCCGTTTCCAGGAAGAACAGAGGTATCCCAGCAAACACCAGGGTCATGAAGTACGGGATCAGGAAGGCTCCTGAAGAAGAGGAAAAACAGATAAGAGTATGCGGTGTGTTGGTTAAATTAACCTCAATTTCCCTTCATTTTAAGCCAAGAAGAAACGAAAACTTGCCGCGGTAATCCTTGATGTTAACGCTGCTTTTCTGAAGTTTGTTAAACCAAGCCCGTAGATATCTCTATTTCTCCTTATTTTATTTTCACACCAGAGGATGGGTTTAATTCAATTTCTGGATAATTCAAATTGAGCAGGCTCGTCTTCGTCTTGCCGCTGGGAAGGTTTTAATGGTAGGGGAAGAAGGAAATGCCTTCCTAAGCACCTTATTTCAATGAAATGTAATTCAGTGGAGCGATTGCAATCAAATTATCTTTTGAATCAAATATCAGCAGAAAGGAGTGGCTCTGGCCCAAAGGTGCAAGTGTGTTTGTTTTGCTGTGGTTGGTTTGGGATGAAATATTCCAGCATTATAAATTCACACATTTACACCTCTGCATCAAAGAATATCATTATCACTATAATGCCTTTTTGTACAAATGTGGCTCTGCTGGTGCCACTGTTCCAGTTTGCTCTTACCTCCACCATTTTTGCCACACAAATAAGGAAATCGCCACACATTTCCTAAGCCGATGGCATATCCCACACACGACAGCAGGAAGTCAAATTTCCCCTTCCAGCTTCCTCTGTCAGGAGGAGCTTCCTTTTCCTTCTTTTGATCTGCAGGGGGCGCTGTGGAGACCAGGTCCTCGGAGGGGACGGCTTGTTTGACCTCTGACGGGGAGTTTAAGTCCACTGTAGTCTGCCCGGTCTTCCCCATCGTGGGACCGCTCCGGTCCAGATAGGTCAGAGAGCTTGTTGTCCTGACGGCCAGGGAAGGAGCAGAGTGTTGATGTTGGACTGGTTTTCTTACGCTAGGCCGCCTGGATCTGGACTTGGGTGTGTTGACTTGAGATGTGCTGCAAGTAAAGTTTTTATTAAGATGTTGCTTACACCTTTCTGTGCAACTTTAAAAAAAGAAATCAACAATAATGTAAAAATAAGAATGGCATTTAAACATTCAAATCACTTTTTTTCTCTTTTTTTTTTGCTTTGTAAAATGAGTATTCTTCACATTTTGTAAGGTAATAACAAACCACTCAGTAATTTATTGGGATTTTATGTGATAAATCAACATAAAGTACACCAAACTTTTTAAATAAAAGCTCAAAAGTAATTTCTGCATTTCCATCCTGATACAAGATCTAGAAATGACACTAAATTGTTGGTCAATATTTTTGATCAGCCACTGTATGTTTAATTATTTAAAACTCCTCTTGTTTGACAAGTCTTTCTTTTACACCAAATGTTAAAATATAAACTATATTTATATAGTAACTGTTTTATTTTCTGAGGGTAGTCTATGGATGGCTATATCACAAGTGACAAAGTTAGTATAAATAATGGAACAATTAATAGTGTTTTAGGATAATACAGATGATTTAATCAAAGCAATCCTTGGTCTTTCTATCAATCCCCATGTTTTTTAATGGTTTGCTACAACTAATATCAGGAATTGGTCCAAAACAAGAGAAATATAGTAAAAATTAGGGTTTAAAGTTTAAAGAAAACGTGTACTAATAAACTTAATAAAGTCACCTGCACAATTCAGTTGTTGAGTAAAACGATGTGAGCAAGAACGAGCCTGCGGTTCCGTTTCTGAAGAACAACGCATTCACACTAATTATGTTTGATGTTACATAATCCCACATCAGCAGCCTGACCCTTGTGAGGACTGCTCATGTTTGCAAATATTGACTGACCTAAAAATTGTTCAGATTGCTTTATGCAGTTGAGGTTAATTATGGATCACTTGATGAACTGTAAAACGTAGGACATTCTGTGAAATAAAACTACCAGCCTCAGAAGAAAATAAATTGTTGAGAAGACATTGTCTGAAGGGGATAGAAGAGTAACAATTACCAGAGTGAAAAGATTCCTGCACAGACATGAACTGAAAGGCAACTTAACTAGAAAAAAGCAATTTCTTCAAAAGCAACATAAAAAGCCCAAATTACAAGTTAAAATGCAGCCACATGCAAAGAGGATTATTTTTCGAGGAACGTCTTTCAGTTTGAAGAGTTTGGCCACAATTCCCATCCTTAGGTTTGGGGAATTCAACATGAAAATCTAAGAACACAATTCTAGTCATGGTACAGGTGTGTCAGCATCATCTTGATTTGGGTGGAAGAGCGTTTCATAAAAATAGACGGAACTAAGAGGATGGAGCATAAATTTGGAAATATTAAAGCAACATCTCAAGACGTCTGACGGAAGGTTAAAGTTTGGGTGCAAATGGATCTTCCAAACTGGAAATGACCCAAAGCATATTGTCAGATTAGTTTCAAAGTAGCTTAGGACAAAACAAAACAAAAAAAAAACTCAAATGTTTTGGAATGGCCATCGCAAAACCATCACCTAAATGAAAAATAAATGGAAAATTGAATGAAGCTTGTGAAAGTATAGCCACGATGTTTCACACAGGTTGTATAGTTTAGAAGACAATCAAACAGAAATTCACATTAGAATTCCGTGAGGCCTTCCTTCACTGGCAATTTTATTTCTTATTCAAGAACAACCTATGCACACGATGTTATCTTACCTCGGTTGAAAACTCTGACATGCTGAGCATGCAGGAGGCAGCGTATAGAGGTCTGTCCTACCTGTTGGCTCCCCAGCTCCGTCGTCAAGTCATCCACTTCAGTTTCCACATCAGCTGCTCCGGTATCACAAACCATCAGTTTGAAAATCCAAAGACAAACACGAAAAGATTCACGTCAGTCCGAAAGGCCTCGACGATTTACCAACATATCTGGGACCCCCGTGCTGGATTTCGACACTCTCTAGTGTGTGCAGTCATTTGAAGGTGGCAGATCCTGCAGCTGGTTATCGAACGCTTGGTAATAAAGTTCGACCTATCCACTTTGATTACAGCTCCAGTGTGACTGGTGAAGCCCCGCGGCCCTCGGGGGATGGGGGAGTTCGAGGGGGAAATGCAGTACGTCAATTGGTCAACTCTGGTGGGGGGGGGGACTCTTGCAGCCATGTGAGTTTGGGCATTGTGGATTAGTGTTTGCTGCAGTCAGCTCTTGCCAGCAGTGTTACCATGGCGTTTCTTTGCACAGAAGGATCTGATGAGTTGAAAGACCGCGTGGAGTTTGGAAAAATGAAGCCAGTGGTGGGAGCTGGCAGAGGCAGTGGATATGTATGGGCTCAAATGAGGTCATGGCAGTATCAGACTCTGGTAAATGTGACTCGACTGGCCAGGGACACGGAATGAGCACAACGTTTATGAGTATAAAATAAAACATTCCCAAGATCAGTCGTTGCTTTGGCGTTATCGAAACACGATGCCAAAAACCCGATTTGGCGTCTCGTTCTGCCAGCTATTTTTCCCCACGTAAATCCAAATATAAAAGCACAGACTGAATAGACGACTATTACATGCAAGGTTTGCAGAAGTACACATTGAACTGTTTTACATTTTGTCACGCTGCAGCCACAAATCTCATTGTATTTTATTGGGATTGTGTGTGACGGACCAACAGAAGGCGGTGCATATGTGAAGTGGAAGCAGAATGTTTCGGTAACACTTTATTTGAAGGGCTTGTGCATATGACACTGTCATAAACGTGACATGACACATGCCATGAACATGAAGGAGTCTTTATTCGGTAAATAATGCCACTTTTAATGCTAATTTGCTCTAAAAGTTGCATTAAAAGTGCCAACTTTGCATTAAGGCGTCATTATTTATGAAATAACTCACTGATGTGCTCTAAAAGATTGGCCACAATCCTGATCCACCACTTCCTGAACCATTTTAGGGTACGTGAGCTTACTCAGGTTGTAAAAGGCAAAAAAATTTTGAATAGAACGCCACTTTAATTCTAATTAACTATAATGGACCATAGGCTACAGGGGCCTTTTCTCTCTTTTTAATTATTTTACCTTCAGCTCAACAGTATCCTTAATAAAATTACTTGATGTAGATATGAGACTGTTATTTCTCCAGGCAGGCAACTTCTTGGCTTTACGATCACCAGTTTTAAATACTCTGTTACTATCCTATTAGGGAAAAGCTAATTAAACATCATCACATGCCATTATTGAGAAAGAGGATCGCTGGTCAGGTTTCAAAAGTCACAGATTAAAATCAAATTAAAGGCGATAATTACACTTACGTGAAAACATTGCTGTTCAAAAAAAAAAAAAAAGATATTTTTTTAAATAATCTTTGGCGAGGTTTATGGTCCATGTGGGGCAAAGTGATGATAACTGAGCAGGACTGGGGTTGTCAAAACGGATCTTCATCAACTTGTTTACAGCATCCCACGATCAATGCAGCCTAATTATGCATCCAGAGCGCCAACTGCCTAGAATAATAGGGAGCAATTATGGGGGCGACAGAGGATGGATGTTGGACAGAATTTCATGGAAGTTTGAATTAGGTTTGAGCTCCGAAGATAACAGAATCCGGGCAGGATTGACCCAGGTTTATGGTAGTTGTACATGTTTTACGCTGGTCGGCTGGAACGGGATGTTTACGTACGCATTTTCCTCCTTCTGTGAAAAGTTTTTATGTTTTATGTCAGTTTAGATTTTCTACATTATTTGTTAAGGAAAACTACTCAAAATAATTCTTGCTTCCAAGTTTCCTTATATTGTTCGTAAGTTTCATAAAGGTTTTAGAAATCTTTGTCGGTGTCGACGTCTGACTTTGAAGAAAGTAGTAAGTATCAAATAAAAACAACTCTCTAATTGTGATCTCAGCCAAGAAAAATCTCAATCTGATTTAATGTCACTGAAACACTCGTGTGATTTACACACTGTATGTAAACGTCTGGTTTCAACGCCGCGTTTTGTCAGCTCAGGAATGTGAAAATGCACCTCCAGCTTCACTTAAAGGAAAAAGCGGGGTGGAAAAAAATGCCGTCTTTGAGGCCTCCTTGCAAGCGTACTTTAATTCACAGCACGCGTTGTGGTCTCCGAATCGATGTGGTGGCCGGTATAAAGCAAGGAACCCCCAGAGGCAATTGGCATGCATAGATAGGAGGCTAATATTCCCTGCGTTTCCATCCCGTACGGCTGCAGGACGACACGTCCCGCATGCATTTTCCACAGGTTAAGGACGAACGAGGGGCGAGGCCCGCTGCAGAGAGGGAACGGCTGTGGTAACGAGAGGGAAAGAGTGAACAATGAGAAATCTCTGCGAAGGCGAGCGAGGGAAGGTATAGAAATTGGTTCAGAGGCAAAATGAAAAGAGATAAAAATTGGGAAAGTTGATACATAGCTCTGGTGCCAGTGTAGATAAGCAGAAAAACAGATAAAAAGATACAGAGGAATCGGAAAATGCCCGTAGGATGGGAAGAAAAGCTTTTCTTTTCCTTTTTTTTTTTTTGCTGCAGACACAAAAGCAAAACTAGAAGACAGAGTACGGGAGATAAAAGAGCCGACAGTCCCGCACTGAATTGTCTTGCATTTACAGTTGGTGTGATATCTGAATCCAGTAAAGTTCCACTAGCTTCTCAGAAGATTGGGAGAGAGGAACTGTGGAGATCTTTCACTGGCCTGCTCCTTTAATCCATCCTGATCTGCTTTGGTGTCTCAAACCCTGTAGTTTTTTTTATTATCTGCCTTGTCGGGTCTGGTGTCTCCCAACTTCTGGGATAACTCAGTAAAATATATGGCAAGAAATATTACCTTTACACATAATTTTCTAATTCGTTGAGACGTGCTAGTGCATGGCAGTGGTTTTGTAGCCGGGCTTTTCCGATATGACTCTGAGAAGATGCCCCGTCCTTGTCCACTCGCGCAGGAACCTCGCATTAGGTTGTAATAATCTCATAAAATGGATTTACAATCCCTGTTTTAAGATGCATTTTGGACAGTGGCCCAGAAAACGCCATAACTCAGAGGCTGTTTCGATTGGTTTATTACATTTACTCTGAAATTCACAGGAAATACATGTTGCTTGTAGGACATTGTGACATGACCAGCTGTTTTAAAATATAAGGCAGACTGGGAGCTCAAACAGTAACCCAGGATTCTCATTCTCATTCCGCGTGGCGCTTTGTTGTTCACATTTCTTCTGGTCCATATTGTCCGATAGTGACTGCAAATTTCAACGTACTCTTTGGGCGGCTTATGGAATAGGCCAACTCAATGCAGTGCATAGACGAGAAGTAGAAGGAAAAGGATATGTGCACATATTCTATATATATTGTACAATGACAAGTGGACATTTTCTCTTATCTATTATGAAATGATGCAAACATGCATTCAGGAGTCTTAGACAGCAGTCAGTTCACAACCTAAGAATAGAAAGAGTTAGTACAGCTAAAACTCAAAGGGCCTCAATCACTGAAGCAGCCGTGAGACTTTAAAGGGAACTGCAGAGATTCAACGCTTAATAGAAAGTATTTGTTGGCAGGGCAACAAATAGCTACTCTGATTAGATGAGACTACTTTGTGTTTTGGAAATCTAACACTGCCCTGAACTCACCACCGCCACAGCATGGAGCCAACACCATGCCGTGGTGTTTCCATGACAAAAAAGTAATTAGAACAAATACATTTCCTAAATATATTCATTTATTTTCAATTTACTCATCTATTTATTGCCCATTTTGGTAATATCAGACCATCTAAAGGCTGGAATGGGATGAAATGTTTGAGCTTTCCCACTACAATGACTTTAGCTTTTCACCTCAAATGGTGCCTGGTTACATAAAGAGCTATCGTCAGAAATGCTAATAATAAATAACAAGGTTTGTTTAATCACATACTGAACTACGGTTGACTACGCTGCTGCTGCTGCTGCTGCTGCTGGGTGGGGATGAACCTATGGGTTCTAAGCTCACCGGGAGCTTCTTGTTGATTTTCATCCTCTCATTAACTCGAGCTGCTCAACTGATTCATTGGCAAATTTGCAATTTTTCCAGCACGGAGAGTCAGTTGATGTCATACGAGTCACAGTGGTGAGATCCGAGGTGATGAGCGGGGTGGGGGGGAAGACAGCCGAGCGGAATTATCTGTTAATTGAACGCCGGTTCGGATCACACAGATGGCTGCGTTCGGTATTACCTTGGAATAGGTTCATCTTCAAAAGTCAGAGTTTTTGTTTTGTTTTGTACCTTTTTGCAAAATAATCGAAGTAAATTTCGGCATCCTCGTTTAGGCCAAAGTGAAACCGTACAATAGAATAGAAATGCATGTGTGAAAGGAATGGATTGGTTGGGGCAGAACAGAGGAGATACACTGGTTCTATTTATTTATCCTGCGTGGTCAGGAATCAATGAGCACAGAAGCAGAGAGAGAGAGAGCAACAGGATATTGGACTTATTGATTCTTTTAATAGAGTTTATAAAGTTAATTACAATTATCTGCATTAAGTGTAAACACGAACGGCAGCATGGAGCAACCGAGCAGTTTGCACGCTTTGCTTAAAATGCTGTGTTTTACGAGGTAAAACAGAGACATCAGGATAAATTTGAAAACTTTTTGGGCGTTACCTGCAACGTTTCACTGCACAGTTGAACACAAAATAATGAATAAATCTAAAAAAAATAATAGATGGGTGCAGTAATATCATGGTTGCATAAATGTGAGCACCTTATACTTTGTTGAGGAAGCTCTAAGTTTTAGCTTTCATGTTTCATTTATTCACATATCAACAGTTATCAGGAAAAAAATGAACCTGAAGTTAAGTTCAGCTGTCTGTGTTTTCACAAATTTGCATTCTTTAGTTTGCAGAAATGTTACAAAGGATCGCATTGGACAAGAGTGTCATTAAGGCAAGGGTACAAATGCTTGTGTGTGTATGTGTATATGTGTATGTGTGTGCGCATAAACCACTACTGATAAAGTAGATAAAGATTATCTTGAGAGAAACTTGGTCTTAACACAAAGACCAAGTTTGTGGTCTTTGTGTTAACTTCCTGTTTCGCTCTTATTTCCATTTCATTGA